GCCCAGGCGACCAGACCAGCGCCTAAAGGAGGATTTCCGCAACATGCAGGGCTGACTCATATAATCAGGATGAAATGTTAGCTTCAAAAGTCAGCATTTAGTTGTAAGGGTCATACGGAGATGAAACAGAATGCCAAATAAGTTAGCGGGTGCAGGCTTTTTTATGAAAAACTTGTGTAGAGCCTGACCACGGTGTTTACAGGACTTTTTTTAACCGAGACCAGTTGTTTCCTTTAACGCGCCTATGCCGCCAATTTGTCCACAAATTACAAAGGAATAAAGAAACAATTTCGTGACTGAGATTGCCACTATTGTTTCGATGGAAATGACCACTTTGACATAAACCTGCAAACTATTCATCTAACACTGCTTAAGGGGTTAAACTTTTAGTGTAAATACTTCCCTTTACTTTACCCTTAGCATTTTTATGTCACTTCTTTGCGATTTCAATTTATTATTTTTAGGATTTTTTTTACATTGTCGAATAACAAGTAAAAAATTGATTGCGAGTGCTAGGGTCGGCGCTTGCTACTTAAATTAATTCAGTATTCTTGCATGTACAAAATTGTGATTTCAGATGTTACTGAATTATTTCTGAAATTTTTAACTTAAAAGTGGTTAGGATAGGTAAAATTGCTCAATAGGTAGGTGGGTAAATGCATTCAGACTCATCAGAATTTGCACGAAGAAAAAAACTGCTCCAAAGCATACCTTGAGCAGCTATTTACTCTAGAAATCTCCACAGCAATTCCTAAAGGCGATATTATCGAAAGTTTTGAATAAAAATAGGTCGTCCTTTTCATGAGCATAATGACGAGTAAAAAGGCAACGTAGTTCGTTGGGATAAAATTTTTAGGGGAGAAGTACAGTCGCCACAGCCAACCCATTTTCCATCTTTTAAATACCTAAAATATGCGTGTTTTGCAGATTTTTTGAAGCAAAAACAAGAGTAGAAGTTTACAAAACGGTCAATGATGTCCTCGCCAAGGGTAGTGAAAAAAGTTTGCCAAAGTAGAATGCCTAAGTGGAGGCAATTTTAGGGCCAGCAAAACCTGTCTTTAACTTATTTTGTAGGATTTTGGAAATGGAAATTCTAATCAAAATCCCAACCATTCGCCCATTATTAGTGGTAAGCCCTTATTTGTTAGAAGCCACCGATTCGATCGACGTCGACGAGCATGACATGCTGATGCATAAAATACACCTTATTTTTTATATCTATATCTTAAAAATTACTGTCATTATTCAGAAAATTTGCGATAAAAAACAAATGGGTGCACTCGAGTAGCAAAGTAATGGGGACGGTGAAAGAGACCATCACGGAGACCTTATTGGTACTGCGCTCTGATTGGTTGAAGGGGGTGCTTAAAAGCCTCCTCTCGCCTTCTGCACCTGTACGAAAGACCACCGTCAAAATCATGCGTGCCACCTGCATCTCCCTTCTGACACTCTTCTACTTCGCCAGCAGTCTTCGACTTCACGGCTTAGACGGTCCGGTGGATCCCGCGGTTTCGTCTACGATGGCAGTGGGGGAGTCCGAGGATGATACCGATTTACTTCTCCCCTCGCGTTATCGTTTGGCCAAGCGTTACCCCCTTCTCAGTGATTACGACGAGGACATGATACTGGGGAACCCCTATTTAGCAAGGGAGATCTCACGTCGCTCTCCGCAGTTCGCGTGGCGACCGCATTCAAGGTTCGGACGACGATAAATGGGCTAATCATGTTTTTCCGTTTTATTTCATCTCTCGCTCGCGCCCTCTCCCCTTCTTTTGCTCCTCCTCTCTATCTCTCTACCCCCTCTCACTCTCGCGCGTCTCTCTTCATGCAACACTCTTTTCACCTGACGGCCCTTGACTCTCGTCCTGGTAAATTTGATATTATAAATAAAGCCACAAATGACTGACTATTGCCTCCATTAGCTACTGATTGCTAACCTTGTAGGAGTGAAGGTCACAGATGTGCTTTTCTTATGAACCCACAATTAAATTATCAGCCTCATTTATGAATTGTGAGCCATCGCATTAGGTTAGTTAAAGACACTTACGAGCACGACTTTCTGCACTGAGGCATAATTAATCGGGAGGATAG